GCTATTTTATATTTAACAAGTCTGCTGACTTATTTCATCTTCATTAAAACTTAAAACCTACATACTTAATGTATGCATCACCGCCGTACATTATGGGACAGCGCCCTTTATTAAGATAGTCGGGATATAGTCGGTACTTATGCAGAGGGAGATGCGGGAAAATATAAAATACCAAATTTAATAAAAATGTGTTCCTCTTAAACAGACTTAAGAAGTATCTTTTTTTGTATAAAATTAGCATCCTTTAAAAACAACATTTTATTATTTAGAAAAAAACCCACTAAAAAAACTTAGCAAAATTCTTTTTAAATTTGTTTTTTAGCTAAAGTTTAAAATAATGTAGCAAATGGTCCCTAAGTGCTTATATTATGTCTTCTGACGAGAAGATTATTCTAATAAATGATAGAAGATATCTAATGCCAATGAGAATACATATTGGCCAAAAATGGGATTATAAAATTTTTTTATTTTAAAATAAATAAACGCAAATCTTTGCTTAAATGATGCTTTGCTTTCTTTTAATGTTAAAATGTTTATTTAAAAACATGTATTACCATTTCTCCCATTACCAAAACTAAAAACCCAAAAACCTTCATCAATTTCCTCAGTGAAAACTATAGTGTGTTTTTCCCAATCGAAGGCTATTTATGTTTCTCCTCAATTTACATTTAAATGTTTTCAAACTCTTCACTAATCGCCCCGCCCCGTCGCACAACCCTTTACGCCTACACGATTTTCCACATTTTCCACCCGACACTTTCACCAAAAATTGTTACTTTTTTTTGGGAACGAGGCGCGTCCAAAGTCAGCTAATTAAAACTAAACCCTTTTGCAGGACCCTCTGTGTCCGGGGTCGTGGGTCTCCTTCTTAGATCCTGGGATAGGAATTCATGGGTTCAAGGACCACGCCCACAAGGACCACGGGCCATCTTAATTACCAAAAGTTGGACGGCCAGAGCGGAACCAAAGTAAGCCACACTTTCCGGAAAGTCGGACTTAAATCGGGTGGCGAAGTCAAAGGATTAAGGCAACAGAATCCGGGGATCAGGATCTATCCACATATACCCGTTATACCGTTACCCGATTTACCAAATTTTCGATCCAAAACAAAAATCGAAAGGGGTGCGACCGTGTTTTCAAAATAAACAAATTGCAAATGCACACGATTCCTTCGATCCGAAGATCCTATATGGTCCTCATTGCCTACATAGGTATAAATACATACATATATCCTTCATGGGATCCTGATTTTCTGATATTTCGGGTGGAAACGTTGAAGCAACGCCCAGGATTTTGCGTGAGTCCGATGGACGAGTGTGTGTCCTTGCTGGTAACCGCGGGGCAGCCTTAATTGCCTGCAACTAATTATGAATAGCGGCAAACGAAAGGAGTGAGAAATAAAAGGGAAAAGGACTCGCGGCCCGAAACAAGGCCAAGAAAGGAGTAAAGGGACACTGGCCTGGCCAACACTACTGTTTGTCCTTGTCGCGATTGTCGTCATTGTTGTTTGCAATTGTCATCTTTATAGATGATGCCATTGTCCTTTTGGCCACTCTGGCACCCGTAAAACTCGGCCGGATTAGTGGCCGTGCAGCACGTACAACTGGCGAAAGGATTAAAACGAAATTAGAAGGATGCGGCAGCCGGACAAATGTATCACCAGCTAGCAGGTAGAAATTTAAAGGGTTTTCTATCCACGGAGCAGGAGTTGTAAAAAAAATTTAAATTGAAATCAGGTCTTTAAGATTGAATTTATATAGGATATAGTCATTCAATCGGAACTATATTAACTTTGAAGTTTTATTGTGTTATTAGGAAAATATATTCAAGATCTTAAAGCTATAGGCTTTAAAATATAGGACCGGCTTGGCCTTAAAACAATGGACCATGGTTGACCATTTAGACTTTTTTAAAAAATGTTGAAACAAGTATTTGATTTACTTTCAAAAAACTACCTTTCTTTCTTTTAAAAAACATATAAACTATATAGGTTTCATATATAATTTACTAAAATTAAAACTAAACAAAAAATAGCTCATAAGTTGTTTCTAATTTTTACCAAAAAAACTTAAAAATAATCCCTCAGCAATATTCTCAATGGCTTTTTCCTTGCAAATTCAAATTTAAAAAGGAATATATAGGTATATGTGTATACATAGGTATATCACAAGCTTAATTGAAATTAATTATGCCAAAGGACCTTAAGCATTCGGCAACCTGTTCAATTATTCAAGTGACAACTTTAAGAAGTTTTTCTCACCCACAAACCCTTTGAGGATATTCCGAAAAGGCGACAGATTCTCATAATTAATTCAAAAGCCTGGAAGAGTGAAAATGTGTTCAAAATTGAAACATTTTTTGATTAAAACATTTCAAGCTTATAGAATTAGTTTTATATTTATCTATTTTTTTAAATATCTACAACATTAAATAGCCGCAAAAAAAGTAATAAAGAGAAGACAAGTTCATCGAATTAATACGTTCCAGTTAAAGTTACTCGTGTTTTTTTTTGGTGGCTGGTGTGTGTGTGTTGGGAAAGGATTTTCAAGGACAGCTTGAACCGCATTACGAACCTTAATGCCCCAGGCTTGCTCCTTTTTTTTTGGCTCATAAAACGGCGCTTAATGCGACTTTTGTCAATAATCAATTTTCACTGAGCCGCTTCGCCTAATAATGCCAATTTATTTTCATGGCTCGACAAAAGCACCACCCGACACACACAAAAAAAAAGGGTTGCCAAAGGGTTAAGGTGGTCTCATATTAAAATGGGTGGTGGTGGGTGTCCTTGCGCCGTGTGTCCCGGGTCCTGGGTTCTGAGCTGCAAATTCCGGCAATTTATCTGTTTGAATTTCAGATTAAGTCTCAAGAAAATCGCAACGACATGCATGTATGGGAACAAAAAACAAAAAATATAGTCTGGGATATCAAGGATATTAGGGATGTGCTCTGCTTATAAGTCACAGTTACGCTAAATAAATAAAAGTACAAGAATATAAAGCATAACTAAGTTGTAATAAATTAGATAAGAAAAATTAAGAGAGCTATTTAGCTCTTAAGATATATTTTTAATATTTAGTTTTTAGTCACTTTTATCTCAAGTTTAATGTTGAAGCCATTTATCATATTATATATTCCCCTAAAAAGTTGAACTAAAAACCAGGTCCTTCATAATTAAGTCCTTACTTTCCTAATTAATTCATCACTTTGCCAGGCCACCCAGAAATACTTGAGTATTTTAGCGACAATGACAATGCTCTTTTGAGAATTAGAGAAAAGAAAAGGACTTGACACAAAAAATTTGGCTACATTCGGTTAATTTTGTTGTTTGACTTTCGAGTGGATGTTCGAGTGAGGTGGCATTTCATTCATGAAATGGCAAAAAAGGACATCTTCATTGTCGGATGCCACCCAAAGTTGGCCAAAAACTCTTTTGTTCAATTAACTAATGGCCAGAACCATCGGCCAGGACAATGCCAATGCAGGTGGCCAAGATTCCCATTCCGGCAACCTGGAGATGGACATCCTTTTTATACCGTTTTATTTTGTTTTTGTTCTTTGTCCGTTAGGGCCACCTAATGACAACAATTAGTGCAGAAGGAATCCATTTTTAAGGGTTTTCAGTGACTAAACACAAGAGTACTCACAGAGCTCACAGTACTGCCCCCAGCATGCAGGACACTCGACGTGGCAACAACATAATCAACAGCAGCCGTAGGAAATGCCACGTGGGGTGCCAAGCAAGGACCGGCAAGGATATGCCAGGATATGCGAACAAATGGCGCAAAAAATATATTTCGCCAGACACTTCAATTATGAGTAAGGTAAATATTTTTGTGCCAACAAACGCAACAGGATATCAATTTTAACCGAAACCATTATCAAAATCAGCCCATGTGCCAAAGGCTGTCTGTGCCTGTGCATGTGCCTGTGTTTTGTGTTTTTATTATTTGTATTTTTATTATTTCTATTTCTTTTAGTTGATTTCTGTTTTTGGAATAACTCAATTTTGACACAAAGTCAAGTCAAAGTCAATGGATGAGCCAGCCAGCAGCAGTTGGAAATCCAAATCGAAAAAGGAGCCACCCCGGAAGCCAAGGATAACTCACAGGAATACCAACTGGAGTACTTGGCATTGTTTTGCCAGGATCTGCGGGATATCCTGCGGCCATATACGGGTTTCCTTACGATTCCTTCTTTCCCCAATATTAATTGAAAAACTTGAACACTTTATTTTCAAACATAAATACAAAAATTTATAAAATAAAATTAATACTAAACATACAAACAAAAAACGCGTAAGAGATGCGACTACTGATATCGATTCAGTAGGTGGTAGTGATGAAGTATATATATTTTGTTATGTATTATTATATACAATACCCTCTGCAAGAGTATAATAGTTTAAATAAATTATAATAATGATAACTAAGGACTTTATAACTTTGGTTCCCTTTGAAATTATTCTCTTCCGGAGGCTATACCCATGCATGAGGCTTTATCTTTTGATTTATGATAATTTAATATATATTTTATTTATGTACATATATTTTTTAGAGATAAGGTTATTATAACGTCATTGAAATCTGTTTAAAAAGTACTTTTCATTTGGGGTTTTTAGAAGATAATATATGTATAACTAAATATATATATATATATATATATATATATATATATGTACTTAAGCCATTCTTAAGGTTTTACTGAGCTGTTATATATACATATTCAAAAGAACAATAATAGAAGAATATAAACTAATTCTGGTTGCTAATCACCCCTCTCTAATCTCGAATAACCTTTAACATGCCATCCATTGAGCCAATATTTTGGCTTTACGATGTGTTGCCCCACGTGTGCCCCAATTTCCCCAGTGCCCGTAGACAGCACACGCTTGAAGACTGATCTCCTTATCGGGAACTCTGAAGCTCAGTCTGAAGCTCAAGGCCGAGGATGGCTTTAAAAACCCGGAGCTTCAAGACTCGCAGCATCAGTTGAAATATTACCAGTGATTCTTTTAGAAGCAAGTTTTGTTCAATCAAAAAAATACAAAATGATCTTCCCGGCGGCTCTAATTTCTGTGCTTTTCCTAATTTCTGCCTCCATGGGATCGGAAGAAGTAATAGGGTTTTTGAGTGTTGATGGGGAAAAAAATGGGGAAATCGACCTACTAAAATATCAAATTAGTGACTCAAAGAAAACCAATGAAATTTTAACGTTGACAAATCAGTTCCGCGAAGACATTGGCAAGTTGGGAGAAATAATAAAGAATGGAGGAATGAATCAAAATAATCAAACAAACTCCAATAATCAGACAAAGAATGTGGTAGTAGAAACTGGGGAAGTCGTAACAACACCACTGCCCAAAATTAATAATCAGACGACGTCAAAAACAGAAATTATGGGTAAGTCGACCGGACACAATAATTTTGAAAATAATACATCGAATTTTTAATTCTAGATCCTTGTCCACGAGGCACAGAAGGCGGAGACCTCCACGAAATCCAAATTCCAGGCTCAGACTCGTTTAAAGTGGTTTGTGATTCAGCAGTGGAGATTGGATCTGGATGGTTGAAAGTTTATAGGAAGCTTCCTTGGTCACAAATATTTAATCGTACCTATGAGGATTATGAACGTGGATTCGGAGATGTTGGACCTTTATGGGGCGATGAGTTCTTTATTGGACTTACACGATTGCACATTCTGACGAAAGGAAACCCTCATGAAGTGCTTTTAAAAACCTATCTATTCGACAAAAACATATGCGACAACTTTGTTGTAGGCGATCGAAGCGAAGGGTACAAGGTGAAAAGTATTGGCAATTGTACTAGAGACGTATGGATAATTCCTAAGCAGGGCTCCAAATTTTCCACCTTCGATAGGGATGAGGATGGAGTTCCTGATCGTAATTTTGCGGAGGAATGTGAATTTGGCTGGTGGTTCAATCCTGGTATGAGGTGTGTATTCTAATTTTGTTTTTCCTTTTATTTCATCTCCAACTGAAAATTTCACAAAAAAAACTAACATAAAATCTTATCTCTATAATCTGCGTCCATTAGCATCGACAAATATTTCATAGAAATGTACATCCGAAGAACAGGTTGAAGAAAACCACACCTTTATAGCGGACTTTGGAAAATTACCCAGTTTTAGAAAATATTATTATTATTAATTATTATCATTAATTAATTACTAATTTTTTTATATTTAAGATTATAAAGAAAATTATTTAAATTTTGAAATTTTGAATAAAATTCCCGAATAAACTATGTAAAAAAAAAGTAATCGAAAATAAAACTTTTAACTGGAAAAAGCTTAAAAAGGTGAAAAAAACATAAAAAAAAAGCAAATTGTTAATTTCAGGATCAGCTCCAACGGAATCTTTTAAAAATGAACAATCAACTCTGGTTGAATTGTGGGAGAATTATTTTCAAAAGACGTTGGTCCTTCCTAAAAAAGATGATCGTTCTATGGCTGTTGAGTTAGAATGGATGTACTCGGCCGAACATTAAATCCTTTATTATCTAAACAGTTCTTCAAAACACAATTTATGCTAAAAATCCAAGCTTTGTATGTCCAAAAACACTAAAGGTTCAGCGTTTCAGGTGCGGCGATCCTTCAGTTATATGGCTTTATTTATAAAGAAAATTATCCGAACCGATTATATCATTCCATTGGCACCTCCATTCAACTGCAGGGGTATATAGGATAGGCTGGCTTAAAAAATAATTTAACCTAGACTTGGTGGAAATAAATGGCTCTTTTGGTCTTGGGATTTTTTTGCAGTGCATGGAACAACTTTTCGTAGGTATTCACTCAAAATGCCAAGCTCAGAGCAAGCTTACGGTCGAGGACGATGATTTGAAAAGGTTTGAGCTGAGGAATCAGTTAAAAAATTTGAAATGACTCTTCCAGAAGAAAGTTTTGGAAGAGAACAAGATGATCTTCCCGATAGCCCTCCTTTCTGCGTTTTTCCTTATTTCTGGCTCCTTGGGAATAGAAGACATTATGGAAGAATTTAATAGCCGTTTTGAATTTTTTTATTTTGAAAAGTAACCGAATTGGAAATTCCACCAAAGATGGGAGCGTGAAATATTAAAAAAGGGTTACGCGAAAACATTTCCCAATTGCAAGAAATATAAAAAAGAAATAGTAAAGATTGGAGAAATAAACAAATAATATAATTAACAATCAAACGTAATATACACTAATAGACACTGGGAGACTTTTAATATCAGACAGAGTCGAAAAAAGAAACCATAGGTCTTTCAGATTGTTATCCAACACGAAACCAGGGTCCTCCATCCAAATCCAAATCCCTGGGTCGGACCCGTTCTATCTACTGTACTACTCAGATGTTTGGAAGAATGGATCTAGTTGGATGATAGTTGCTCACAAATATGGGGAATATGCAAGTGGACCTTCTGAGGAACAGAAAGCCCCACGAGCCCCATTGGAGGGGAATAAAGATACCGCAATCGATGGGATGGGCAAGCGATATATTGGAAATCAGAGGGCTTTAATCGGGGCTATAAATTATCCAACTTTTATCGAGATGAGAGTGGACATCCTTGGATTAAATGGGCAACGAAATTAGACTTTGGCTGGTGGTTCAAATCTGGATTTGCATCGAAACATCGATAAAAGGAGAGTCTTAAATATTCGATATGAAATAATTATTTTTTCAACACCATTTTCATTTGATAGAACTGATCAAGTCTTCATTGACTTTTATATTTTCATAATTTGCAGATTCGGGTTAGTTCGGTCGACAAAAAAATTCAGTCTGAGTCAGTCAGTCGTTGCTGGTGGAAGTATATCAGTTGTGAATTTTCAAATAATAATTAAATTTTCAACCAAAAAAAAAACCCCAAAAATAATTCCCAAAAATAATTAAAATATTTGTGAAAAAAAACCATCGAAAACCAATTTAATATCAAAATGGTAGGATCGGCAGTCCAAGTAATCACCGCTTCTGAGGAGCATAGCTTTGCGCTAAACGAGGAGGCACTGCGTGAGGTGCTGATGCGCGAGGCCGTCAAGGACCGGCACGTATGCGTAGTCTCTGTGGCCGGAGCCTTCCGGAAGGGAAAGAGCTTCCTTCTGGACTTTTTCCTGCGGTACATGTACTCAAAGTATGTGCATCAAGATGCTACCGATTGGCTCGGTGACGAGTCCAAGCCCTTGGAGGGCTTTTCATGGCGTGGCGGATCGGAACGCGACACGACCGGCATCTTAATGTGGTCGGATGTGTTCCTCTACGACTATCCCAATGGCGACAAAATCGCTATCTTACTGATGGACACTCAGGGTGCCTTTGACAGTCAAAGTACTGTTCGAGACTGTGCAACTGTGTTTGCACTCAGCACGATGCTTTCTTCTGTTCAAATCTACAATTTATCCCAAAACATTCAAGAGGATGACTTGCAGCATTTGCAACTTTTCACGGAATACGGACGACTTGCACTGGCTGACACTGGGAAGAAACCTTTCCAACGGCTGCAATTGGTTGTTAGAGATTGGTCATTCCCCTACGAGGCGGAATATGGAGCAGTTGGTGGCGAAAAGATTGTGAAGAGGCGTCTTGAGGTCTCTGACAAGCAGCACCCGGAGCTGCAGTCCCTCCGCCGACACATCAATTCTTGCTTCACCGAGGTGGCCTGCTTTTTGATGCCACATCCGGGTCTCAATGTGGCCACCAATCCCCACTTTGACGGAAGACTCTCGGACATAACCGCCGAGTTCAAACATGGGCTGCGCAGCCTGGTACCCATGCTGCTGGCGCCCGAAAACCTGGTCTTTAAGGAGATCAGCGGCCAACGGGTTCGGGCCCGTGAGCTCATACAATACTTTCAATCTTACATGAGCATTTACAAGGGCAACGAGCTGCCCGAGCCCAAGAGCATGCTGGTGGCCACCGCCGAGGCTAACCACCTCACTGCCGTTGCCGCCGCCAAAGAGCTATACCAGCAGCTAATGGAGGAAGTATGCGGTGGCACCCGGCTCTACCTAAGCACCGCGCATTTGGAGACGGAACATCTGCGGGTCAAGGACAAGGCGCTCTTTCAGTTTGCCACCAAGCGTAAGATGGGCGGAGAGGAGTTTACGGAGAAGTTCCGGGTCCAACTGGAAGCCGATCTCGAGGACGTATTCAACAACTATCGTGCCCATAATGAAAGTAAAAATATTTTCAAGGCAGCACGCACTCCTGCGGTTTACTTCACCTGTGCCGCTATTATGTACATCCTTAGCGGCATCTTTGGCCTCCTGGGACTGTACACTTTTGCGAATTTCTGCAATCTACTGATGGGCGTGGCATTGATAACCCTATCCCTATGGGCCTACATCCGATACAGTGGAACTCTGTGCGACTTTGGCGGCAAGATGGACGATCTGGCAACATTGATGTGGGAGAATTTCATGCGCCCCGTCTATCAGGGGTGCATGGAGAAGGGCATCCATCATATGGCCACTCATGCCACCGAGATGGCCGTGGGCGGCGGTGGAGCTGCCGGCTACCGTGCCCAGACATCGGTGAACATCAACCCAAGTGTGGCACCCAAAGCAAACGACGACTCCAATGAGGCACAGGGCTTCATGAAGAATATCTGGCGCAAGATCGGCAGCGACACTAAGGCCAATGCTGATCCTCCATCCGGTTCCCAGGCGGCCAGCACTTCCAAGAAGACCAACTAAGCTCCAAGGTCCAAGGACCAGTAGAATAATGACCAATATTTCAAAGACAGACTTCTAATTTGTATAAACACGCAACATCCAATCACAAAGAATTAGTTATTAGTTACTATTATTATTATTAATATTCATTACTCATAACATTGTCAACAATACAATTGGTTTATATTAAATATACATATTGAGCAAAGCATTAATAAGTGGTTTTTATCTGTTGGGAAGTATATATAAAATATATTTGTAATATGTACTTATTTATATGTTTGAAATAATTACAAAAACATAAAGCTTCCCAATTCCAAGAAAATGCAAAAAATACGGAAAACTTTAATATTCATAAAATGTATGGGTTTTAGGATCAGCCCCAAAAAGAGTCCCTCGAAGACACCTGTTTTTGAAAAATATAAACCTAATATTGGATGAAATCTAATACTTGGCTAACTAAGTCAGTTAAGATTAACTACTAGTTAAGTCTTTTACTTTTTTAAGCCTTTTTAATAGATAAAGAATACTCCTAAGCAATAAAGATCCCCAATACTCCTTGTTCATCTATTAATTTTAATCCTAAAAAAAACTAATATGTATTTAATGTTTTGTTTACTAAAAACCCATATTTTTTTGGCACACACTCTCTCTTTATTTATTTGGCAATTTTTTGGGATGGGCAGCTGCTTGGCAGGCTGCCTGGATTTATGGCCATGGATCGGATAATAAGGATCGAAGGATCGCCGTATAGCCTCGGGCTCGGGCCAAACATCTCAAATTGCGTAAGCCACAAAAATCCGGTCCAGGGCGGCGGCAAAGGATCTGCTTCTGCGAATTATTAAAAAAAAAAGTAAGCGAAGTCCTTTCGCGTGTCAGACTAAAAAACTGACAAACCTGCACGCAACTAGAAGAAGTTCATAAAAAATCATAAAAAAAACATGCAAAAAAATAAGACACACGCGTATCCTGGTCTAGGATACTATCCTGAAATTCCTTGGAAAAATCAAAAGAAATTACGCAAAATGCAATCGCGTGTGTCCTGTGCCTGAGCCTCATAAATCAAATAATAAAAAAATAACGAAACCTGCCTTGGTTATGGTAAGTCTTGAATTCAGTTTTTTAGTTCTGTAGCTCAGTTTTTTGGTCTCAAAACCGTTTTTTTTTCGCGAAAAATATTTTTTATGACTTTGAGTAACATTCGGTTTGTTGGGTTTTCGGTTTTTTATGACACCTTGGCCCGTAGATGACGTAACCTGAGAGATCCTTTTTGGGATTTAATATTAAGTAAAAATTCTCTATAACAGATGGCTTTGAAATAGTTAGTTAATATTCTCATTTATTTTCATTAGAACCACATACGCAGCCTTCTACACATCAAAACCATTTCGTTTTACATTCTCTACTATTATATACATTTGTATATACATTTATTTTATTTTTCCATTGACCAACACCCATAACTTTGACTTTGGAAACCATAAAATAAATAGTAGGCCCTGATATCGTCGTCGAATGTCAACTACCCAATTGTGATTCAGCAAATAGTTCAGTATAAATTCGTTAGACAAGCCAAGAGCACAAATTTTTACGTGTACTTTTTTTTGTTTTGTTTTTTTTTTTCTATTTTTTCGGTTTTTAAATATCGGTACCTTCTACACAAAAAAAAAACTAAACAAAAAGATAAACGTAAAATTAGGCGTGAATACTACAAAATTTGTCTACAAAATTCGCTGCTATCACAATTATAAATCATTTTAATCTCAAAGCGCGTTTCGAACATCGGCAGAATGTGGAGGCGATTTGTCGGTTTAAATAAAATTCAGATCACTATGTCTGGTGAGTATTGAAGAAATAATATGCGAGTGCTTAAGATAAATTTAAAGAGTAATCAATTTTGGAAAGGATTGCCCAGCCTTTGAAGGCTTATACGCTATAAAGGCTAAGAAGGCCACAAATAGTCATCTTAAATACCTCCAGTATCATAACAGACATCTATTTAAGAAGCCCTCGGCCCACGTAGTATTTTATTTAATTTCTCAACGAATGCCACAATGACTTGCAACTTTCTCACTTGTTTAAATGACAGTTCTTCTAAATGAAAACAATATTGTTGGGTCCCTAGTTCATATCACTTTTTTATAAAAAAAAAAATCCATGTACTTTTATATCCCATCTCTTAGTCGTCAATCCAATCTGGACGACTGCCATGAGTTCATGGTGGCGAAGATATTCGACCACTCGGATGAAGCCCCAATTTCCGTATCCCTCTCCCGGAGGTATGCGGCGTCATCAAATCAACCGGTACAGAGGTGGCACCAACGGAACCGCAGGGTTAGATTGGGGAGCTGCTGAAATGGAATCAGACTCGGAAGATGATGAAAGGTCCTCCCAATTCAGATCAATGCCGATTTCCGCCCGGCCAGTCTTAAAGAGGCTCCCCAATGTTAATATTTCCGAGGACTGGGACTCGGATTCGGAGGACATATCGGCGGCATCATCGCGGCTGAATATAGCCGAGGGGACGATGCCGCAACAACAGGACAAGCTGCGAAGGAAATCGGCGTGGAAGTCATGGAGGATGGCAAGCAAATCGAACGCTGCCATGACGGTGAGTCGGGGTCAGGAGTTGTGGATGAAGGCGTTGTCAGCGGCCCGGGGACGGAATCCCTATCGAGTACATGGCGATGAGGACGACGGGGACGATCTGCCGGAACACGAGCCAGGACCTTACAATCTAATGCCGCCCCTGAAGCCTGTCAGAACACTGAACTTCTTCTATCAGCAGAGCATTCTGAATGGCAACGGTGTGCCCGCCTATCGTTCCAATGATACCCCGGAGGACAAGCCTCTGGAGCTGGACAGCGAAGTGGATCTGGACAAGATCGATTCGGTGAGTGCCTTGGAGCGAGTGCGCAAGGAGCGGGAGCGGCGGCGGGCCCAGAAGAAGATGCTGGACCTGATGCAGCAGCAATCCGACAAGGATCAGCTCGCACAGGACCTGCAGGACCACTGCTACAGCGAGGATCAGATGCGAATAGCCAGCTTGGGCGGAGAGCCGCCCAGGCGTTCTCGCAGCGATGAGGAGAAGCAAATGACCCAGCTTATGATTGCTCAGGAGCCCAGACCTGATCCTTCCCAGGATCCACAGGTGAGTTCATCGTCCCAGAAGTCTAATGGGGAGTCGGGCGCTGTTCAAAAGCCTAGCCTGCCGCCCATTCCGGATGCCAAGGCCTTTGATATGCCACGGGAGACCATGCCGCGCGAGTTCATACCCCTGAGTCCCACGGCAGCGGCCATCAAGGATCTGGATTATAGCCGGCAGTACAATGTCCTGCAACAGCCGCCCAGGAGCGGACTAGAGCAGGGCGAGCCCCCAGAAGTGATGAGAAGTCTGCGACGAATTCGGGTAATTTTCTATAAAAATTACAAGCTTCCTTTTTACTCAAATCTTTATCCTTTCAGTCCTTGTCCCGTTCCGGCCGTTTAGGCTACAAGAGCTCCAATAAGGAGGATTCGGAAGATAGAGCTCGATGCCCACCACTGACCGAGCAACCGCCCAGATCCCGGGGTCCCTTCAACTCCGTGATGGATATACACAAGGCACGGGCCATCGAGATGGAAAAGAGACGCATCCAGGAGGCAGGATCCAAGGAGTCGGCCACCAGTTACCTCTCCAGTCAAATTTTCGAAAAGAATCGGCGATAAAAAGGAAAAATCCAAAATCGTAAACAACCAGGCTAGTTTGGAAAAAGAGCAAAATTTGAAACAAAAATTTGAAGCAAAAATTTGAAGAAAATATTTGAAGAAAAAATTTAAAAGAAAAGAAGGTATCTACTGCCACGCCCCTGTTACGTCCTGTCCATCGTTGACCGTCCACCAGTGACTGTCCAACGTCAGCCGTCCATCGTCCACCGTGCTCTGTCCACCAACTATCTATCCAAGACATAGCCGCTTTATAGAAAGGATGGGGACCCAAATCCCAGAAGCGCCACATACTTTAAGAACTTACAAACTCGAAATTCACGTACAAACGTATATTTATGAAAAATATGCGAAAAATATTACAAAAAATATACAAAACACACGGCAAACTATTACAAACAACAAAAAAAACACACAGAGGAAGACGCTGGAAAAAAATGGATTATAATTTCAACTTTCAACATCCAACAATCAAGAAGCTTCACTGTATCAAAATACGAAACAACAAACCGAAGGTCCTTTTCCAAGGATTGCCCAAGGATGTGCGACCTATTCGAGATGCTCTGCAAACCACACCGTTCAAGTACAGGAATTTGGTATATATATATATATATAACCATTTAAATTATATATATATTTGATCTTTATCCCAACAAGATCCTGGTCGGTAGGATGTCTAATTGCAGCCCACCATTCGAGACTGATTCCTTGGGCAAATCGGACAATTCTGTTGTACTATATGATGTTATCACAGTGTTGCTAGAGAATATATCCAACAATTTGTGTCTTCCGGTGTACATTTTTGGTGTTTTATTAAGAGGTGTTGGATAAAAGGTTTTTTCTTTACTAGATCAGTTTAAGGTTAAGTATTAGGCTATTGCTGGAGGTGAAACCAATTAGAGGTGAAACACCTACCCTCTCCTGACTATAAAGGTGAAAATATATATCAATAACTTTATTTGATATAGAAAGAAGCTAATTGCTAATTGATTTGCTAATTGTATTGTTAATATTTTTCATTTTACACGCTGCTGTGTCATTTGAAGGCATTTTTGAGGTTAAAAAGAAAACAAACGAGTGGCTCTGTCGTATAATGTACGGCTATTAAACATAGAAGACCAGACTGAACGGCGCGTACAAATTCTGAAGGTTTTTTTAAATTTTTTTTTCATTTTTATTTTATTTATATAATACAAATAAAAACCACAAAAAAAAAATAAATACTGAAGGTTTTTTTTTCATCTAAATTTTAATTATATAAAATAAAAACCAAAAAAAAAATATCAAATTCAGATTTTATATATTTTATTTCTTTTAATTTCTTTTCAATTTCTTTCAATTATTTAAAAAAATAAAAACCCCCAACAAAATAAAAAACTCCAATAAAATAAATTTTGAATTTTTATATTTTCTGTTTTAAATAAATAATCTTTCAGTCTTCACGTATTACAAATGTAGAAACCCAAATATAAATCCTAAAATACGACATTCCAAATTAATTGCGAGTGGCATTACTCGAAGCCAGCGAAGAACGGCTTTCAACAAAAAGGATCAGTCATGAGTAGACTAAGGAGTCTTTCGGTTATACGTTTCTCTTCGGCCATCTTCTGACACGGGGTAGTATCTGTTAGATTATAAATAATTAATAAAATAAAAAAAAAATAATTATAGAATAAACCGACTTGTTTTGGATATTTCTTTGCGCTGAGTCTTTGGTTGGCTTTCCACTAGAAAGAAATATTTTGATTAAATATTATAATCCATTACTATTTAGAACTTACTGGGTTTATCCGATGTTACCGGACGAGGCCTATCGGCTGTTGATGAGTACTTAATGGAAAGGTTGTTATGAATTTTGGCCCTGTTAGTCGCACCATCCATATAATTCATCCTCGCCGACCTACTGGAGGCCGTCGGTTCCTGGAACCCAGCTTTCATTCTTGAGAGGGGTCCATGTCCCCACTCATCAAGTTCAGCCGCCCTTGTAATATCCATACGTTCCGGTTGCTGTGGCACAGCGAATCGTCCCATCCTATTAAAAAACTTGTGTTTATAGCTATGCTGTACTATTATAATAGTAGATTATACTTACTGTTTTCGAATCTGAGATCCTAAACGAAAAACCATTTTAGTTCTTGACGCGCCCGACATTTTAAATCACACTATTCTAATTGAAATATCGACAAAGAATTTTGAAATTTAAATTATTTATAGAGTTTTTTTTTCACAAAAAATAATTAATTTTCACTAAAAATATTAGAGCAAGCACATGTTCTCTGTATGAGCTTCGGAATTTGAATGAACAATACCGGAGATATTTCAGGCTCATACATTCTATAAAATGACAAAAATGATTCCAAGGACTACTTGATCTGTTGGAACAGCAAACACATTAATATTTACAAATTAAATAAATATTCTATGCCCAAAATATTTACCAATGACTTTGCAAAAAAACAAGCGACTATGATTTGGCAATTTTTGGCTAATTTGCGAAAAAAAGAAGAAAATTTTCCAGTTAACAAATTTTCATAGCCACTGTGTGCGTGTGTGTTCCTTTTTCTTTATTATTTGACTTCAAAGGATCGAAGCCGTTGCTAAATATTTTCATTAAGCGTTAATTATGTTTTTAACAAAATATTTGTCGGATGTCAAAAAGACATCCAAGGCATACCCGCCAAGATTCCAAAGAAAGTGATGTGGCAACTTTTTCGCTGTCTTCATTTTTGAACTAAAAGGACTACGACTACGACGACTACAACGGAAGTTGGCCGGAAAATGAACGATAATTTATAACAGCAATGTCCTGACAATGCAACTGCAAAGTTGCAGACTTTTAAATAGAATTGGAGAGAGAGATGTACACACATTCCCCTCAATCTGAAATGAACAGAAGTTGGCACTGAAATTAAAACGAAAAATTGCAATCCACCCTGTCATTAGATGCCATCAATTGTTTGTCCCGTTGAAAAAAAAAAAGAAGGGAGACTTCTGGATGCAGGATACACGGATTCGGGGTTTCTCGATTCTGAGTTCGGTATTCTGGGTTTACTATTGTTCAGAAAAATGTTTAGAAAATTTCGAAAAGTAACCGAGAGGGCTTGATAGAGAGGGGCTCGTTGACAGAGGGATATAAATGTTGTGATTTCTTAATTTTTGTTTGCATTTTTCTCAAATTTAGTAGGCTGTTGAGGTAATTACACTAATTATACGGCCCTGTGCGAATCTCATTCTCACTTAAGGGTTGCTCTATCACCATCATCATCTGGGGAGGTCATCGAGAGCTCAAATTCGGCCCGAGACCCGGTACCCAGCACCCGGCACCCGGGATTCGATTACGACTCATGTCAAACGGCACTAGACCCCGAATTACCGACTGTCTCGAGTGAGTGTGATAGTTCCGACACTATATATCCTTGTGTTTAACTAATTCAGGGGTTGTTTCCAGACTAGACATTCAAAAAGGGGGATATCAGCTAGCCAAAGGGCAGTTAGTTGTTTAGTTTTTTGCTATTTAAGAGGTCCTTGATATGAAGTTATAATAACAAGTTTGAAATCAAGTCATAGGATCAATCATAGGATAAGGTTTATTCTTAAATTTGTTTTAGTTGATATTCTCTTAGACGGTTATTAATTGACAATGGATAAATTAGTTTAAAACAAATTGTTAAGTTAAGTGAGAATCAGGGAAGATATAGCCATCACTGTGGGCCCTATAGAAGAAAACCCCATTTTCAATGGATCCCATCACGAAAAATGGACAAAAAATCTAAAAAATATTTTGTCTCAGGATTTCGATGCAGAATGGTGGCGAATCGATCCAGAAATCGTTTAAGGTACTCCGCTTGAGAATCGGATGATAATTGGGGAAGATATAGCCATCACCTTGGGCCCTATAGAAGAAAACCCCATTTTCAAGGGATCCCATCACGAAAAATGGACAAAAAATCTAAAAAATATTTTGTCTCAAGATTTTTAAGCAGAAAGGTGGCGAATCGATCCAGAAATCGTTTAAGGTACTCCGCTTGAGAATCGGATGATAATTGGGGAAGATATAGCCATCACCTTGGGCCCTATAGAAGAAAACCCCATTTTCAAGGGATCCCATCACGAAAAATGGACAAAAATTCTAAAAAATATTTTGTCTCAAGATTTTGATGCAGAATGGTGGCGAATCATTCCAGAAATCGTTTAAGGTATTCCGCTTGAGAATCGGATGATAATTGGGGAAGATATAGCCATCACCTTGGGCCCTATAGAAGAAAACCCCATTTTCAAGGGATCCCATCACGAAAAATGGACAAAAAATCTAAAAAATATTTTTTCTCAGGATTTCGATGCAGAATGGTGGCGAATCGATCCAGAAATCGTTTAAGGTACTCCGCTTGAGAATCGGATGATAATTGGGGAAGATATAGCCATCACCTTGGGCCCTATAGAAGAAAACCCCATTTTCAAGGGATCCCATCACGAAAAATGGACAAAAAATCTAAAAAATATTTTGTCTCAGGATTTCGATGCAGAACGGTGGCGAATCGATCCAGAAATCGTTTAAGGTACTCCGCTTGAGAATCGGATGATAATTGGGGAAGATATAGCCATCACATTGGGCCCTATAGAAGAAAACCCCATTTTCAAGGGATCCCATCACGAAAAATGGACAAAAAATCTAAAAAATATTTTGTCTCAAGATTTCGATGCAGAATGGTGGCGAATCGATCCAGAAATCGTTTAAGGTATTCCGCTTGAGAATCGGATGAGAATCAGGGAAGATGTAACCATCATTGTGGACCCTATAGAAGAAAGCCCCTTTTTCACGAAAAATGGACAAAAAATATAAAAAATATTTTGTTTCAGGATTTTGATGCAGAATAGTGGCGAATCGATTTAGGAATCGTTTAAGGTACTCCGCTGGAGAATTGGATGTGAATTGGGGAAGATATAGCCATCACTGCGGGCCATATAGGGGACCATATCTTACAGCTGCCATATAACTGATTGATCGGAAATGATATTTGGTAGCAATACCAACTTATTATTATTTGTAAGATTTTGTTTTGTAATAAATTGGTTGTATTGTGATATTCTCATAAGGATCGGCCAACTATATTCGATGTTTGCGATATATATCCGGTTTTAACTGCAAGGGTATACAAACATCGCACGAAGTTAGCTTTCCTTTCTTGGTTGTTGTAATTTTGGAATGGCTATGTTATCGATATAATGTACAATGTCTTTCCAAAAAAGTAGGCTGGGTAAACAAAGGAACTCATTCAAATATATTTATCCAAACAAGTTTTTCAATTGCTTTAGAAAATTTAAACTGAAAATATCACAAAATATTATTGTGTATTTCCGAACCGTGAAAAATCACCATGATTATGGAATTGGTGTGTGTGCTTGGACTAATGTTCCTCGTCGGGGGATACCTAATCAAAGGATGTCCTTTATTTCTGTATAAGCTGGAAGAAATTAAACGTGCAACCGAGCTACTAGTCATTGAAGCGGAGCTTCTAGAAATGATAAAATTTTTAAAAGAAACCGGTGCAAGTCAGAAAACTTTGGATTTGAGTCAAATGCTTTTATTCCATTACCGACTTGACGTAGATGAAAGCTTAAAATAAAATTGAAAAAAAAGGTTGTGTTAAAAATGTAGGTATTCCATTAGGTTTTGAATTAATTTTAGTCTTTGATATTAATTTATCCATTTTATATTTTCAGAGTTACATATTTTTATTTGAAATGAGAAAGAAAGAAATGAAGAATTCCACAATTCCATCAAGGAAGTACCACCACCTGAATGTCCACCTGTCGGTTCGTCCGTCAGCAGGGGTATTAAAGCCTAGGCTCCATTCTGTTCTTAAGATTCTAAAATATAGAAATATAAATTGTGTTTATGTGAGATAAAGTATGGTTTATTTATGGGTTAATACACTTCTTTTAAGAAAATAAATTGGAATAAGTGAGCATACAAATATACGAATCCTATACGTAGCTGAAAAAAGTTCCCAGTTAGTAATTGAAATTCAAAATTCGTTTGTAAAACACACCTCCCTTGATTAGTGATAAATTTACCTATTAGAGGCACTTTCTTTCGGGTGATTACACGAGTAAGTAGCTTCGAAAACACGATGGGATGACAGTAAAAGTCAGCGGGTAGAAACAAAAAGCAGAATAATAATGAAAACAAGGATGGAGATGTCCTTGCAAGGCGTTTGCCGACAACATTGTCATCAACACATAACTGTCAACTATCGTACCCCTCGGGTGGATTGCGTTTCCCGGTGGTTAAATTCATTGGCAAAAAAAAAAAATCCAAAAAAAAGGGAGGTTTTTCGAACCCGCTGGCAAAGCAAATGACCCAAAACTGAAAGCGAGAAGACATCATCATTAGGGCATCCCGGCAAATGGGCGAAAACCGTGGAACAACCATGGAAATCCGTGGAAAAATCATCATCTACAAATGCATACGAAATGAAATTGAACAATATACAAGTTTTATATATAGTAGATATGTACTGAAATATTTGTACATACCCCTCCATGGCCAAGTGACATATTTTATGCATTTGACATTTTTGGGTGAAGTGGCGGAATCAAAGTGAAATTCTCAGCGCAGGGCAAACATAAATAAGTAAATAAAATGCTGCATAATTTATGCATTTAATGTAAACAGACAATTTGGCGCAACTTTTGTTGTCCTTGTTGGTCCTGGAGCTGAAGACAAGGATATAGGCTTACCAGAGAGAGAGAGGTGGTTTTAAAATTTTAAAGATCTTAGAGGGATTAGTTCTCTAAAAATAGTTATTATCTAAAAATATAGCTTTGTCCGTCAATCTGCCATTAAAATTTTATATGAAATAATCAGCTTTTAGAGCTTAATTTAAGTCAAAACACTAGATACTCTTGACAACTATAACCTTTTTAAAAACTTTTCTCTTGAAATATTTGTCTAAGAACTCATTTAGCTACCCTCGCTAAACTGGCGGCCTTATTCAAAAATGATTTTAGCTGACAGCCAACAGTCAGCGCCGTGTCAGAAATCACGACCCAAAAAAGCAGAAACCCACGAATGGCATAAAGAAATACAGAACAAGGTCCTTTGGGGTGGGGTGGCACAAAAAAAAAAGGAAATACGCGCCCAGCCCAGCACAAGGACGAAGACGAAACGAATAAAAAAAAAACCAAAAAGAACCCAGGCCAGGACACTTGATGAGCAAATCAGGAGCATGGTTCATTGACGTAGCAAATTGGAACTTCCTCTGGGATGTGCGATGAAAACCGTGATGATGATGACGAGTAGATGAGAT